AGGAGCCTGACACCAAGAGGTAAAAATCCTTTCCCACTTCAATGTCTCTCCAGCACTCTTAGTTGACAAAGTTTAACGCTGTGATAGCTAGCAAAAGAAGCATAAAGGGTCAAGATTCATCTTCACACAGCAGGTATAAAGAGTGAATTGGAACTGAAAGCAATAACTCAGACACAGTACAGAGACTATATAATTGCCCCAACTTACCTCAGAAACGCACCTATAAAAGATTGGAGGTAGGCGAAGAGTAGAAGTAGTAGTTCCCCCATATAAGAGAGAAGAGTACTCTTCCAAAAAGAAAAGTTCTGGGCTGACAAAACAATAAATGTTCCCTACACACCATTCTTTGGCTGCTCAGTGTGTACACACACACACAGTTTTCACCATTATCTCTAGTTTCTCTTAACATAAAGCAACTATCACATGTGCAATTGAAAATGTACTCAATCCCTACATTGTAGGAGGAGAAACTCAATGTCACTTCCAGCCTAAATTCAGGATCTTTGAGTATAGTCACTCTCAAGTAGGTCTAGCTATGCTAAATGGTGAATAATAAAATTTTCCCCAATGCACAAATATAAAGGGTGTCCCAAAATTCACGCAAGAAGTAATTTTGATAGAAAACACAGGTTTATAATTAAAAATTGTAAATTTTTTATTCATTCATAAAGTATACAGTATAGGGTTATGTATGGAATATCACATCGGGTAAATGGCCTCCACGGCTTTGCTGGCACATATGCAAAGCCGTGGTCTTCATTGGTCTTCATTGTCCCTGCTCCTGGGCCATAATTGGTACTTGGTAATGCTTATCAAATTGAAGGGATTGAAATCAAAGGGCAACAGATATTAGAATCTGATTCAATAAACCAAGTAAAATTAGGCTTTTATTTTTTTGTTGTTATTGTTAATGCTCACGCAAAATTCAAATCTTGCATGAATTTTGGGACACCCTATATATTAAAGGGGGGATGAGATAATAAAAATGAATGAGAAGGGGCAAAAAAGGGGGTTCAATATGCAATGGTTGTAAGCATATACCATAAGCTGCTGGACAAGAGTAATAAGGGTAAGGAGGACATCACTTCTCCAGCAGAGACATGAGACCTTTGGTCAGTCAAAGTGGCAAGACTTCCTTTGTCTATTATCCTCAAAGACCCTGCCTTAGAGGAGGAGTGAGAAGAAATCTCCTGGGACTGCCCTGGCAACTGAATTCATCTTTCTACAGATCCAGAGACTGGGACATTATCTTTGAGGCAGCATAATCAGTAGGTGCCTTTTGCCAGGCTGAGGTCCTCTGGCAATACCTTAAATCTTACTTGGCTTTCAATCAATGTCATTTGGGGGAAATCCATTAGCTGTTATCAGAAACCTCACTGAGACATGAGCTTTGAATATGGACTCTGCCCTTCTGGTTTCTATCTCTTGGAAACTGGCCTGGCAACTCTGTCAATCTCCCTAGATCTTAGTTCATTATCTTTGCCATAGACTTTATCTGAGGGCAACCAGAGAGAACAGAATGGGGTCATAAAGCCAGGTTACAGCATCAGATTTTATGCCCTAAGCTGTATACCACTTAACTGGCATAACGGTAAGGGGCCTTAGCAGAAGATATTTGAGAGGACTCCTGAGGCATTCCTGACTCTGCAGGGTCTTCACATTCCTAGTGCATTAACCTTATGTGGGGCAGAAATTTCAGTTGTTTCAATGGACAGGGTAGATATCTGATCCCCATCAGTATTAGAGAACTAAACCACCGGCAGAAAGGACTTCTAACAACGCTGTGTAAGTATCACCCTACTGTTGCCTATCTAATCTAATAAAAGAGAAACATGCAAATTGACCATACCTCCGCTGCACCCACAAGCCACTCAGGAGCAAATATGCAAATTAACCCAACTAAGATGGTGGCGGCCACGGAGCTGGAGTGAGCAGGAGGCTTGGGTTGCCCCTGGCAATGGAGGAAGCCAAGCTTCCCGGCTGCCCTACTGGCCCTGAGCTCCCTTCAAGGCTACAAAGTTTCAATTATAGAAGATAAATAAATCCCAG